TATGGGGCACACACAGACCCCTATGGGGCACACACATCCCTATGGGGCACACACAGACCCCTATGGGGCACACACATCCCTATAGGGGACACACAGACCCCTATGGGACACACACATCCCTATGGGGTACACACACACAGACCCCTATGGGGGCACACACATCCCTATGGGGCACACACACACACAGACCCCTATGGGGCACACACATCCCTATGGGGGACACACAGACCCCTATGGGGCACACACATCCCTATGGGGGGCACCCACCCCTATAGGGCACACACACATCCCTATGTGGGGCACCCACCCCTATAGCGGACACACACAGACCCCTATGGGGCACACACATCCCTATAGGGCACACACACACCCCTATGGGGCACCCACACCCCTATAGAGGACACACACATCCCTATGGGGCACACACACAGACCCCTATGTGGGGCACCCACCCCTATAGCGGACACACACATCCCTATGGGGCACACACACAGACCCCTATGTGGGGCACCCACCCCTATAGCGGACACACCCACCCCTATGGGGCACACACACATCCCTATGGGGGCACCCACCCCTATAGGACACACACATCCCTATGGGGGCACCCACCCCTATGGGGCACACACATCCCTATGGGGCACACACATCCCTATGGGGGGCACACACATCCCTATAGGGGCACACACATCCCTATAGGGCACACACACATCCCTATGGGGCACACACACATCCCTATGGGGCACACACATCCCTATGGGGCACACACATCCCTATGTGGGGGCACCCACCCCTATAGGGCACACACACACCCCTATGTGGGGCACCCACCCCTATAGCGGACACACACACAGCCCCCTATATATGCCGCACACACAGACCCCAACCCCCCCCCATATAGAACCCATAGCCCCACATAGACCCCCCCCCTCCCCCATAACCCCCCCATAACCCCCCCAAATGATCCCCCCCCATTCGGACGCTCCCATTTACCTTGGGGGGGGCCGGAGCGGGGTCCTCGCCCCACGCCGCTGCCGCTGGAGGCGGCTCCTGCAGTGACCCGGATGTAGTGGAGCTTCCCCCCCCCCCCCCAGCAGTGGTACGAGCCGAGGACCCCTAGCGGGCACTGGGGGTACTGCAACCATCACCCACCCCCCCCTGCTAAGCGAGAGGTGGTTCAGGCCGGAGGGGAGCCTGTAGGGGGGATGGGAGGTGTGGGGCAGTGGGGAGGGGGGTGTGGGGCAGTGGGGGGGGTGTGGGGCAGGGGAGGGGGGTATGGGGCAGTGGGAGGGAGCTATGGGAGCTATGGGGCAGGGGGATGGGAGCTATGGGGCAGGGGGGGGGGTGTGGGGCAGGGGGAGGGGCGTGTGGGGCAGTGGGAGGGGGGTGTGGGGCAGTGGGGAGGGGGGTGTGGGGCAGTGGGATTGGGGTGTGGGGCAGTGGGGAGGGGGTGTGGGGCAGTGGGATGGGAGCTATGGGGCAGTGGGAGGGGGGTGTGGGGCAGTGGGAGGGGGGTGTGGGGCAGTGGGGAGGGGGGTGTGGGGCAGTGGGGAGGGGGGTGTGGGGCAGGGGGATGGGAGCTATGGGGCAGGGGGAGGGGGGTGTGGGGCAGGGGGAGGGGGGTGTGGGGCAGTGGGGAGGGGGGTGTGGGGCAGTGGGAGGGGGGTGTGGGGCAGGGGGAGGGGGTGTGGGGCAGGGGGAGGGGGGTGTGGGGCAGTGGGGGGATGGGGCAGGGGGAGGGGGATGGGGCAGGGGGAGGGGGGTGTGGGGCAGGGGGAGGGGGGTGTGGGGCAGGGGGAGGGGGGTGTGGCGCAATGGGAGGGGGGTGTGGGGCAGTGGGGAGGGGGGTGTGGGGAAGGGGGAGGGGGGTGTGGGGCAGCCCCTATAGAGGCAATGGGGGCGCCCTATAGGGACAGGGGGAGTGCAGGGGGGTGTGGGGCAGTGGGGCACCCTATAGGTGTGGGGCATAGAGACAATGGGGAGCGCCCTATGGATTGGCAGCCCCTATAGAGGCAATGGGGAGTGCCCTATAGAGACAATGGGGAGAGCCCTATAGAGAGAATGGGCAGCACCCTATAGAGGCAATGGGGAGCGCCCTATAGAGACAATGGGGAGCGCCCTATAGGGGCAATGGGGAGCTCCCTATAGAGGCAATGGGGAGCGCCCTATGGATTGGCAGCCCCTATAGAGGCAATGGGGAGTGCCTTATAGAGACAATGGGGAGTGCCCTATAGAGACAATGGGGAGTGCCCTATAGAGACAATGGGGAGTGCCCTATAGAGACAATGGGGAGCGCCCTATAGAGACAATGGGGAGCGCCCTATGGATTGGCAGCCCCTATAGAGGCAATGGGGAGTGCCTTATAGAGACAATGGGGAGTGCCCTATAGAGACAATGGGGAGTGCCAATGGGGAGTGCCTTATAGAGACAATGGGGAGTGCCCTATAGAGGCAATGGGGAGCGCCCTATAGAGACAATGGGGAGTGCACTATGGATTGGCGGCCCCTATAGAGACAGTGGGGCGCACCCTATAGAGACAATGGGGAGCGCCCTATAGAGACAATGGGGAGCGCCCTATAGAGACAATGGGGAGCGCCCTATGGATTGGCAGCCCCTATAGAGGCAATGGGGAGTGCCCTATAGAGGCAATGGGGAGTGCCCTATAGAGGCAATGGGGAGCGCCCTATAGAGGCAATGGGGAGCGCCCTATAGAGACAATGAGGAGTGCCCTATAGAGACAATGGGGAGCACCCTATAGAGACAATGGGGAGTGCCCTATAGAGACAATGGGGAGCGCCCTATAGAGACAATGGGGAGCGCCCTATAGAGACAATGGGGAGCGCCCTATAGAGGCAATGGGGGCACCCTATAGAGACAATGGGGAGTGCCCTATAGAGACAATGGGGAGCGCCCTATGGATTGGCAGCCCCTATAGAGGCAATGGGGAGTGCCCTATAGAGACAATGGGGAGTGCCCTATAGAGGCAATGGGGAGTGCCCTATAGAGGAAAGGGGGAGTGCCCTATAGAGGCAATGGGGAGCGCCCTATGGAGACAATGGGGAGTGCCCTATGGAAGATCTCCAAGTGATGCCCATGGAGACCCTCTCCACCCCCCAACCCCAATGGGGCTCCCGTGGTCCCCATTGAATCCCTTGGGATGATGGGAAGGGAATTCCAGCCCCCCCCTGCCCCATAAGTGAGCTCCCATCCATGGGGGAAGAGCCGGGATCCCAAATCCCCCCACGGAGAAGACGGAAGCACCAATGGGCTTTGCTCTTTTTATTGACTGCCAACAGCTCCGCCCCATAGCCAATGGGATCGCCCCATGGCCAGGGGTGGGGCCCCCTCCCCATTCCCATTGGCCATTGGAGATGATTCCCATTGGAGACGATTCCCATTGGCCATGGAGATGGTTCCCATTGGCCATTGGAGATGATTCCCATTGGCCATTGGAGATGATTCCCATTGGCCAGGGAGATGATTCCCATTGGAGATGATTCCCATTGGCCATGGAGATGATTCCCATTGGCCATGGAGACGATTCCCATTGGCCATGGAGATGACTCCCATTGGCCAAGGAGATGATTCCCATTGGCCATGGAGATGATTCCCATTGGCCATTGGAGATGATTCCCATTGGCCATGGAGATGATTCCCATTGGAGATGATTCCCATTGGAGACGATTCCCATTGGCCAAGGAGACGATTCCCATTGGAGATGATTTCCCCTTGGCCATGGAGATGATTCCCATTGGAGATGATTCCCATTGGCCATGGAGACGATTCCCATTGGCCATGGAGATGATTCCCATTGGGCATGATTCCCATTGGAGATGATTCCCATTGGCCATGGAGATGATTCCCATTGGAGATGATTTCCATTGGGGATGATTCCCATTGGCCATGGAGATGATTCCCATTGGAGATGATTCCCATTGGAGATGATTCCCATTGGGTATGATTCCCATTGGCCATGGAGATGATTCCCATTGGCCATGGAGATGATTCCCATTGGAGATGACTCCCCTTGGCCATGGACACAATTCCCATTGGCCATGGAGCTGATCCCCATTGGAGATGATTCCCATTGGAGATGATTCCCATTGGCCATGGAGACGATTCCCATTGGCCTTTGGAGACGATTCCCATTGGCCATGGAGATGATTCCCATTGGAGACGATTCCCATTGGCCATGGAAATGATTTTCATTGGCCATGGAGAAGGTTCCCATTGGAGATGATTCCCATTGGCCAAGGAGATGATTCCCATTGGCCATGGAGATGATTCCCATTGGCCATGGAGATGATTCCCATTGGAGATGACTTCCATTGGCCATGGAGATGATTCCCATTGGCCATGGAGATGATTCCCATTGGCCATGGAGATGATTCCCATTGGCCATTGGAGATGATTCCCATTGGAGATGACTCCCATTGGCCAAGGAGATGATACCCATTGGCCATGGAGACGATTCACATTGGCCATGGAGATGATTCCCATTGGAGATGACTTCCATTGGCCATGGAGATGATTCCCATTGGCCATGGAGATGATTCCCATTGGAGATGACTTCCATTGGCCACGGAGATGATTCCCTTTGGCCATGGAGATGATTCCCATTGGCCATTGGAGACGATTCCCATTGGAGATGATTCCCATTGGCCATGGAGATGATTCCCATTGGCCATGGAGATGATTCCCATTGGAGATGATTCCCATTGGCCAAGGAGCCGACTCCCATTGGCCATTGGAGCCGATTCCCATTGGAGACGACTCCCATTGCCCACAGAGCCGATTCCCCTCGCCGCCGATTCCCATTGGCCACTCAACCGCCTCCCCCACCCCCAACCCCATCTCCCCCCCCCAACCCCCATGGATCCCTTCCCCACACCCCCCCCTTTCCTTTTACCCCACCACCACCCCCTCCTCCCCCCCCCCTTCCTCCCCACACCCCCTCAGAGGCCTCCGGATCCTCTCCCTGCCCCCAACCCCCCCTCCATCCCTATGGCGCCGGCAATGCTTGGCCAAGGCCGCCGCGTCGCCGAATCTCTTTCCGCACTGGGCGCAGGCGCCGCCGTGAGCCCGTTGGTGCTTGTGGAAGTGCACGGTGCTATTGAAGCTCTTCCCGCACTCCCCACAGATGTGGGGCCGGCCTCCGGCGTGGGTGCGTTGGTGCCGGTAGAGGTGGGAGGTGCGTCCGAAGCGTTTGCCGCAATCCGGGCAGGCGTAGGGCCGCTCGCCCGTGTGGATGCGTTGATGCCGTTGCCAATGGGAGCTCCAAGCGAAACTCTTGCCGCAGGCACCGCAACGATAGGGTTTCTCCCCTTCGGCTCTCCCGGTGGTGGTACCGGTGGTACCGGTGGCGTTACCTCCATCATCATCATCATCATCATCATCATCGCGGTGACCGCGTTGGTGTTGGATCAACGCCGGCGCGTCGCCGAAGCTCTTGCGGCACGCGGTGCATTTGTAGGGTCGCCGTCCCCGATGGGTGCTCTGATGGCGTTGGAAGAGGACGATGCTGCCGTAGGCTCGCCCGCAGTAGGTGCAGATGTAGGAACGGCCGCCGGCGTGGGTGCGTTGGTGCCGGTAGAGGTGGGAGGTGCGTCCGAAACGTTTACCGCAATCCGGGCACGTGTAAGGTCGCTCGCCGGTGTGGACGCGTTGGTGCCGGCGCCAATGGGAGCTCCAAGGGAAGCTCTTGCCGCATTGGGAGCAATGGAAGGCCAAGGGTTTGGGGAGGAGCAAGAGGTCGGCCATGGGGGGGGAAGAGGCCATGGGGTGAGAGCGTGGGGGCCATCGAGGGGCTTGGAGGAGGCTTCCCGGCGGAGACGATGCTGTGGGGTCTGGGGGATATAGGGGGGAAAGGGGGGGATGTATGGGGATTAAGGGGGTTAAAAGAGGGGGGAATGGGGTCAGGGATGGGTCCTGATGGGATCTAAAGGGGATGGAGACCCCAAGATCTATGGGGAAGTCAAGGGGATGGAGACCCCAATCCCTATGGGGACGTCAAGGGGATGGAGAACCCAATCCCATTAAAGGGGATGGAGACCCCAATCCCCATGGGGACGTCAAGGGGATGGAGAACACAAGATCTATGGGGCTATTAAAGGGGATGGAGACCACAGGCTCTATGGGGAAGTCAAGGGGATGGAGAACACAAGATCTATGGGGCCATTAAAGGGGATGGAGACCCCAATCCCTATGGGGACGTCAAGGGGATGGAGACCCCAATCCCTATGGGGAAGTCAAGGGGATGGAGAACACAAGATCTATGGGGAAGTCAAGGGGATGGAGAACACAATCCCTATGGGGCTATTAAGGGGATGGAGACCCCAGTCCCTATGGGGAAGTCAAGGGGATGGAGAACACAAGATCTATGGGGCTATTAAAGGGATTGGAGACCCCCATCCCTATGGGGACGTCAAGGGGATGGAGACCCCAATCCCTATGGGGACGTCAAGGGGATGGAGAACACAAGATCTATGGGGCTATTAAAGGGGATGGAGACCCCAATCCCTATGGGGACGTCAAGGGGATGGAGACCCCAATCCCTATGGGGACATCAAGGGGATGGAGAACACAAGATCTATGGGGCTATTAAAGGGGATGGAGACCCCAATCCCTATGGGGATGTCAAGGGGATGGAGAACAGAAGATCTATGGGGCTATCAAAGGGGATGGAGACCCCAATCCCCATGGGGACGTCAAGGGGATGGAGACCCCAATCCCTATGGGGACGTCAAGGGGATGGAGACCCCAATCCCTATGGGGCCATTAAAGGGGATGGAGACCCCAATCCCTATGGGGAAGTCAAGGGGATGGAGACCCCAATCCCATTAAAGGGGATGGAGACCCCAATCCCATTAAAGGGGATGGAGACCCCAATCCCTATGGGGACGTCAAGGGGATGGAGACCCCAATCCCTATGGGGACGTCAAGGGGATGGAGACCCCAATCCCTATGGGGACGTCAAGGGGATGGAGACCCCAATCCCTATGGGGATGTCAAGGGGATGGAGACCCCAATCCCTATGGGGACGTCAAGGGGATGGAGACCCCAATCCCTATGGGGCCATTAAGGGGGCTCCCCACTTACCCTTTATCCCGGGGGGCTCGCGGGCGTCGTCCCCCCCATCTGCCCCACACGGCTCCGGCTCCTCCGATCCCCAAGGATCCATGTCCATGGCAAGGGGGCACTGCAGGGAGAGGGGGGGACCCCCCCCTTTAACCCCCATGCTCAATCCCTATGGATCCATAGGGGATGGAGGGGATCCCGTTTGCCCCCCATATCCCAATGAATCCCTATGGCATCCATGCGACCACCATTGCCCCCCATAAACCCCATATCCCACTGGCTCCATATGGGATGAATGGGACCCCCATTGCCCCCCATATCCCAATGAATCCCTATGGGATCCATGCGACCCCCATCACCCCCCATCCCCACTGGCTCCATATGGGATGAATGGGACCCACTTTACCCCCCATATCCCACTGAATCCCTATAGGATCCATGCGACCCCCATTGCCCCCCATCCCCATTCCCACTGGCTCTATATGGGATGAATGGGACCCCCTTTACCCCCCATATCCCAATGAATCCCTATGGGATCCATGCGACCCCCTTTGCCCCCCATATACCAATGAATCCCTATGGGATCCATGTGAACCCCATTGCCCCCTATAAACCCCATATCCCACTCAAACCCTATGGGATCCATGCGACCCCCATTGCCCCCCATAAACCCCATTCCCACTGGCTCCATATGGGATGAATGGGACCCCCTTTGCCCCCCATATCCCACTGAATCCCTATGGGATCCATGTGACCCCCATCACCCCATCCCCACTGGCTCAATATGGGATGAATGGGACCCCCTTTGCCCCCCATATCCCACTGAATCCCTATGGGATCCATGCGACCCCCATTGCCCCCCATAAACCCCATTCCCACTGGCTCCATATGGGATGAATGGGACCCCCTTTGCCCCCCATATCCCACTGAATCCCTATGGGATCCATGTGACCCCCATCACCCCATCCCCACTGGCTCAATATGGGATGAATGGGACCCCCTTTGCCCCCCATATCCCACTGAATCCCTATGGGATCCATGCGACCCCCATTGCCCCCCATATCCCACTGGCTCCATATGGGATGAATGCGACCCCCATTGCCCCCCATATCCCAATGAATCCCTATGGGATCCATGCGACCCCCATCACCCCCCATCCCCACTGGCTCCATAGGGGATGAATGGGACCCCCTTTGCCCCCCATATCCCACTGAATCCCTATGGGATCCATGTGACCCCCATCACCCCCCGTCCCCACTGGCTCCATATGGGATGAATGGGACCCCCTTTGCCCCCCATATCCCACTGAATCCATATGGGATCCATGCGACCCCCATTGCCCCCCATAAACCCCATTCCCACTGGCTCCATAGGGGATGAATGGGACCCCCTTTACCCCCCATATCCCACTGAATCCCTATGGGATCCATGCGACCCCCTTTGCCCTCCATATCCCAATGAATCCATATGGGATCCATGCGACCCCCATTACCCCCCATATCCCACTGGCTCCATATGGGATGAATGCGACCCCCATTGCCCCCCATATCCCAATGAATCCCTATGGGATCCATGTGACCCCCATTGCCCCGATCCCCATTCCCACGGGCTCCATAGGGGATGAATGGGACCCCCCTTTACACCCCATATCCCACTGAATCCCTATGGGATCCATGCGACCCCCATCACCCCCCGTCCCCACTGGCTCCATATGGGATGAATGGGACCCCCTTTCCCCCCATATCCCACTGAATCCCTATGGGATCCATGCGACCCCCATCACCCCCCATCCCCACTGGCTCCATATGGGATGGATGGGACCCACTTTGCCCCCCATATCCCACTGAATCCCTATTGGATCCATTCGCCCCCCATCGCCCCCCATCCCCATCGCCCCCCATCCCCATAGGGATACAGGAACCCCCCCCCCCCCCTTTTCCCCCCATAGCCCGGACAAAGCCGGGCGGCGCCGATCCCATTGCAAAGAGGCCCGAAAGGGGGGGGGGGGGGGGGGGTTGCTCCCCCCCCCCACCCCCATCAGGACCCCCCCTCCCCCCCCCATTTAAACCCCGCACCCACCAAAAGCGGCTCCGTTCCCGGCGATCCCAAGGTTCCGGATCCCGGTTTTCCCCCCCCCCCCCCCCTCCCCCTCCCCCTCCCCCCCCCCTTTTCCTGTCTATGGTGGGTACCACCCCCTCCCCCACCCCCCATCCCCCCCCCCATCCCCCCCCCCTTTATCCTTGCTCCATCCCCTTCCTGTGTGCTCCGCATCACGGAGCCGGCGTGCAACAGCCTCGCGTTATCCCCCCCCATATCCCATTATCCCGCCCCATAGCCCAATATCCCACCCCATAGCCCGCCCCATAGCCCCTTATCCCGCCCCATAGCCCCATTATCCCGCCCCATATCCCATTATCCCACTCCGTATCCCCTATTCCCGCCCCATAGCCCCGGTTTCCCGCCCCATATCCCCCGTTTCCCCCCGCAAATCCCATAGCCCGCCCCATATCCCCCCTATTCCCACCCCATATCCCCCTATTCCCGCCCCATATCCCCCCTATTCCCGCCCCATATCCCCCCTATTCCCGCCCCATTCATCCCATCGCTCCATCACCTCCGCATCCCGACGCCATCGGGACCAGGTAATGGGGCAGAGCAATGTGGGGCGGAGTGGGGGGGGGGGGGAATCCGTGCCCCATAGCGATGTCATGGGGGGGGGGGGGAGGGGGTCGAATTCCCACTTCCTTTCCCACCGGATCCAGCCGCGTTCTTTGCATCCCCCCCCCCCCCCCCAATCCCCCCTTTTCATAGGCCAGAGCCCCATAGCAGCCCCCCATAGCCCCATAGCAGCCCCCATAGCCCCATAGCCCCCCCCCCATAGCCCCGTAGGAGCCCCCCATAGCCCCATAGGAGCCCCATAGGAGCCCCCCCATAGGCCCATTGGACCCCCCAATAGTCCCCATAGGAGCCCCCCATAGCCCCATAGGACACCCCCATAGCCCCATAGGACACCCCCATAGCCCCATAGGGCCCCCCAATAGCCCCATAGGATCCCCCATAGCCCCATAGGGCCCCCCATAGCCCCATAGGACCCCCCATAGCCCCATAGGAACCCCCATATCCCCATAGGGCCCCCCATAGCCCCATAGGGCCCCCCATAACCCCATAGGGCCCCCCATAGCCCCATAGGACCCACCCATAGGCCCATAGGGCCCCCCCATAGCCCCATTGGACCCCCATATCCCCATAGGGCCCCCCCATAGCCCCATAGGAACCCCCCATAGCCCCATAGGGCCCCCCCATAGCCCCATAGGAGCCCCCCCTAGCCCCATTGGACCCCTATATAGCCTCATTGGACCTATAGGGGTCCATAACCCCTCAGACACCCCCCCCCCATAGCCCCATAGCCTCCATTGGACACCCCTAGACCCCCATTAGAACCCCCATAGCCCCATAGGACACCCCCATAGCCCCATAGGACACACCCATAGCCCCATTGGACCCCCCTGTAGCCCCATTGGACCCCCCATAGCCCCCATAGGACCCCCAATAGCCCCATTGGACCCCCCCATAGCCCCCATAGGACCCCCCTAGACCCCCATTGAACCCCCTTATACCCACATAGAACCCCCCCATAACCACAATGGATCCCCCCCATAGCCTCATTGGACACCCCAAATCCCCATTGGACCCAACTATATCCCCATTGGACCCCCCTAGACCCCCATTGAACTCCCTCATATCCCTATTGGACCCCTCTAGACCCCCATTGAACCCCCTTATACCCTCATTGGAAACCCCCATATCCCCATTGAACCCCCCTAGAACCCCATTGGACCCCCCCATTGAATCCCCCCATACCCCCCATTGGAACCCCCCATACCCCCATTGAACCCCCTTATACCCCATTGGACCCCTCCATCCCCCCCATTGGACCCCCCCATACCCCCATTGAACCCCCCATACCCCATTGAACCCCCCCATACCCCCCATTGGACCCCCCATACCCCCATTGAACCCCCCCATAGCCCCCCCATTGGACCCCCCCATACCCCCATTGAACCCCCCCATACCCCCATTGAACCCCCCCATACCCCCCATTGGACCCCCCCATACCCCCATTGAACACCCCAATCCCCCATTGGACCCCCCCAGAACCCCATTGGACCCCCCCATACCCCCATTGAACCCCCCCATACCCCCATTGGACCCCTCCATACCCCCATTGAACCCCCCCATATTGAACCCCCCCATACCCCCCATTGGACCCCCCATACCCCCATTGAACCCCCCATACCCCCATTGACCCCCCCCATACCCCCATTGAACCCCCCATACCCCCCATTGAACCCCCCCATTGACCCCCATTGACCCCCCCATTGATCCCCATTGAACCCCCCCATACCCCCCATTGGACCCCCCCACATCCCCATTGAATCCCCCCATACCCCCCTTGGACCCCCCATACCCCCATTGAACCCCCCCATACCCCCATTAGACCCCCCCCATACCCCCATTGAACCCTCCCATACCCCCATTGAACCCCCCCATCCCCCCCATTGGACCCCCCCACATCCCCATTGAACCCCCCCATACCCCCCATTGGACCCCCCCACATCCCCATTGAACCCCCCCATACCCCTATTGGACTCCCCTGTAGCCCCATTGAACCCCCCTAGACCCCCATTGAACCCCCTTATACCCCCCATTGGACCCCCCCCATGCACCCCAATCCCCCCCCACACACCCCCATTGCTTCCATTGCAGTGCTCGGTGACCCCCCCATCATTCCAGCCCCATTGCGGCCCCATAGCAAGCCCGGGACGAGCATTCCCATTGGGATAAGATGCAGGAGAGCTACGAGAGCGTCATCTCATTGGGTGAGCCCCACCCCCCCCCCTTTTCCCCCCCCTTTTCCCATGGAATTCCCCCCCATTCCCGTTGTTCATCCGTAGCGGAAGAGATCGCCATCAGTTGGCCAAGGATCACGGCCTTCGCCGAATCCCATCGCAGGAGGGGAGCGGCGGCCGGTGAGTCCCATTGGGAAGATCCCATTGGAATTCCATTGGGATCAAGGGCATGGGACGATGGGTTGGATGTAACCGCCAACCGATGGGGTTGGGTGGCCATTGGAAGATCCCATTGGAATTCCATTGGGATCAAGGGCATGGGATGATGGGTTGGATGCAACTGCCAACCAATGGGGTTGGGTGGCCATTGGGAAGATCCCATTGGAATTCCATTGGGATCAAAGGCATGGAACGATGGGTTGGATGCAATCGCCAACCAATGGGGTTGGGTGGCCATTGGAAGATCCCAATGGAATTCCATTGGGATCAAGGGCAGGGAATGATGGGTTGGATGCAACCGCCAACCAATAGGGTTGGGTGGCCATTGGAAGATCCCATTGGAATTCCATTGGGATCAAGGGCATTGGATGATGGGTTGGATGCAACCCCCAACCGATGGGGTTGGGTGGCCATTGGAAGATCCCAATGGGCTTCCATTCGGATCAAGGGCATGGGATGATGGGTTGGATGCAACCGCCAACCGATGGGGTTGGGTGGCCATTGGGAAGATCCCATTGGAATTCCATTGGGATCAAGGGCATGGAACGATGGGTTGGATGCAATCGCCAACCAATGGGGTTGGGTGGCCATTGGAAGATCCCAATGGCATTCCATTGGGATCAAGGGCAGGGAACGATGGGTTGGATGCAATCACCAAACGATGGGGTTGGGTGGCCATTGGGAAGATCCCATTGGAATCCCATTGGGATCAAGGGCATGGGATGATGGGTTGGATGCAACCGCCAACCTATGGGGTTGGGTGGCCATTGGAAGATCCCATTGGAATCCCATTGGGATCAAGGGCATGGGATGATGGGTTGGATGCAACCCCCAACCAATGGTGTTGGGTGGCCATTGGAAGATCCCAATGGGCTTCCATTGGGATCAAGGGCATGGGACGATGGGTTGGATGCAACCGCCAAGCGATGGGGTTGGGTGGCCATTGGAAGATCCCAATGGGCTTCCATTGGGATCAAAAGCATGGGATGATGGGTTGGATGCAAGTGCCAACCAATGGGGTTGGGTGGCCATTGGGAAGATCCCATTGGAATTCCATTGGGATCAAGGGCATGGGACGATGGGTTGCATGCAATCGCCAACCAATGGCGTTGGAATTCCATTGGGATCAAGGGCATGGGACGATGGGTTGGATGCAATCACCAAGCGATGGGGTTGGGTGGCCATTGGGAAGATCCCATTGGAATCCCATTGGGATCAAGGGCATGGGACGATGGGTTGGATGCAACCGCCAACCGATGGGTTTGGGTGGCCATTGGGAAGATCCCATTGGAATCCCATTGGGATCAAGGGCATGGGACGATGGGTTGGATGCAAGTGCCAACCAATGGGGTTGGGTGGCCATTGGAAGATCCCATTGGAATTCCATTGGGATCAAGAGCATTGGATGATGGGTTGGATGCAACCCCCAACCGATGGGGTTGGGTGGCCATTGGAAGATCCCAATGGAATTCCATTGGGATCAAGGGCAGGGAATGATGGGTTGGATGCAACCGCCAACCAATGGGGTTGGGTGGCCATTGGGAAGATCCCACTGGAATTCCATTGGGATCAAAGGCATGGGATGATGGGTTGGATGCAACCGCCAACCAATGGGGTTGGGTGGCCATTGGAAGATCCCATTGGAATTCCATTGGGATCAAAGGCATGGAATGATGGGTTGGATGCAACCGCCAACCAATGGGGTTGGGTGGCCATTGGGAAGATCCCAATGGGCTTCCATTGGGATCAAAAGCATGGGATGATGGGTTGGATGCAACCGGCAACCAATGGGGTTGGGTGGCCATTGGAACATCCCAATGGAATTCCATTGGGATCAAGGGCATTGGATGATGGGTTGGATTCAACTGCCAACCAATGGGGTTGGGTGGCCATTGGGAAGATCCCAATGGGCTTCCATTGGGATCAAAAGCATGGGATGATGGGTTGGATTCAACTGCCAACCAATGGGGTTGGGTGGCCATTGCAAGATCCCATTGGAATTCCATTGGGATCAAGGGCATGGGACGATGGGTTGGATACAACCGCCAACCAATGGCGTTGGAATTCCATTGGGATCAAGGGCATGGGATGATGGGTTGGATGCAACCGCCAACCGATGGGTTTGGGTGGCCATTGGGAAGATCCCATTGGAATCCCATTGGGATCAAGGGCATGGGACGATGGGTTGGATGCAAGTGCCAACCAATGGGGTTGGGTGGCCATTGGAAGATCCCATTGGAATTCCATTGGGATCAAGAGCATTGGATGATGGGTTGGATGCAACCCCCAACCGATGGGGTTGGGTGGCCATTGGAAGATCCCAATGGAATTCCATTGGGATCAAGGGCAGGGAATGATGGGTTGGATGCAACCGCCAACCAATGGGGTTGGGTGGCCATTGGGAAGATCCCACTGGAATTCCATTGGGATCAAAGGCATGGGATGATGGGTTGGATGCAACCGCCAACCAATGGGGTTGGGTGGCCGTTGGAAGATCCCATTGGAATTCCATTGGGATCAAGGGCATGGGATGATGGGTTGGATGCAACCGCCAACCAATGGGGTTGGGTGGCCATTGGGAAGATCCCAATGGGCTTCCATTGGGATCAAAAGCATGGGATGATGGGTTGGATGCAACCGGCAACCAATGGGGTTGGGTGGCCATTGGAACATCCCAATGGAATTCCATTGGGATCAAGGGCATTGGATGATGGGTTGGATTCAACTGCCAACCAATGGGGTTGGGTGGCCATTGGGAAGATCCCAATGGGCTTCCATTGGGATCAAAAGCATGGGATGATGGGTTGGATTCAACTGCCAACCAATGGGGTTGGGTGGCCATTGCAAGATCCCATTGGAATTCCATTGGGATCAAGGGCATGGGACGATGGGTTGGATACAACCGCCAACCAATGGCGTTGGAATTCCATTGGGATCAAGGGCATGGGATGATGGGTTGGATGCAACCGCCAACCAATGGGGTTGGGTGGCCATTGGAAGATCCCATTGGAATTCCATTGGGATCAATGGCATGGGACAATGGGTTGGATGCAACCGCCAAGCGATGGGGTTGGGTGGCCATTGGAAGATCCCATTGGAATTCCATTGGGATCAAGGGCAGGGAACGATGGGTTGGATGCAATCGCCAACCAATGGCGTTGGAATTCCATTGGGATCAAAGGCATGGGACGATGGGTTGGATGCAATCGCCAACCAATGGAGTTGGGTGGCCATTGGAAGATCCCAATGGGCTTCCATTGGGTAAAAGGCATGGAATGATTGGTTGAACCCAACCAGCATCACGGGAGCAACCAACCAATGGGGTTGGCTGCTGAGGCCACGTCTCCCCCCCCCTTCTCTCCCCCTATAGACGATTCCTTGTTGAGCGAGAACGACGACGAGGACCCTCCGCCGGGCGAGCTGGACAAGGCCGCTCCCCCTCCGTCCCCATCGCCCCATCCCAAAGGCCCCATTCCCAGCCCCACAAGTGGAGACCCCCCCCCCAAAGCCGACCCCCCGCCTCCGAAGCCCCCCAGGAAGCGTCCGGGAAGCCACCGGAGCTTCAAGAGGTTCCCATCGCGTTCCTTGGCGCCTTCCAACCGGTGCCAGGATTGCGGCAAAGCTTTGGCATTCCCGAAGCGCCCGCGGGCCTGTGCCGAAGGCGGGAAGTGCTTCCGGTTGCCATCGACCCTTCTCCCCCATCAACGGCGCCGCGTCGGTGGCGAGAAGAATTCCAAGTGTCCGGAGTGCGGGAAGAGCTTCCCGGCCCCTTCCGGCTTGGCCAAGCACCGCAAGCTCCACGTGGAAGAGAAACCGTACAAGTGCGGCGATTGCGGGAAGGGTTTCCATTGGAATTCCCACTTGGAACGGCACCGGCGCATCCATACGGGCGAGAAGCCCTATGGGTGCCCCGAATGCGGGAAGCGCTTCAGTTGGAGCTCCCACTTGGAGCGCCATCGCCGCATCCATGGCGCATCGGCGGCGGCGTGCGGGCGCTGCCGCGTCCCTTCGGACCCTTCCAAAGCCTTGGCCAAGCCCTCGCAATGCGGCCAATGCGGGAAGGCCTTCGCCAACGGCGCCGCTTTGGCCAAGCACCGGCGGGCCCACGGCGCCGAGAAACCCCCTAAGTGTGGGGAGGGAGGGAAGGCGACGGCGTCGACATCGACGCAGCCCCAACGGAGCCGCGGCGCCGGCAAAGCGTTCCGGTGCGGAGACTGCGGGAAGAGCTTCGCGTGGAGCTCCCACTTGGATCGGCACCGCCGCATCCATATGGGGGAGAAGCCCTACCGGTGTGGGGCGTGCGGGAAGAGCTTCTCCCAAGGGTCCCACTTGGAACGGCACCAACGGGTCCACGCCGTGGGGCAAGAGCCGGGTCGATGCGTCGAGTGCCGGCGCTCGTTGGGCCGATGCGAGGAGTGCGGGGAGGCGCGGCCCCATAAGTGCGGGAAGAGCCTCGCTTATGGGGCGGAGAGGGTGAAGCACCAAGGGACGCAGACGGGCGAGAAGCCCTACGCGTGTGGGGAGTGCGGGAAGAGCTTCGGGCAGAACTCGGCGCTGGTCAAGCACCGCCGCATGCACACGGGGGAGAAGCCCTACAAGTGTGGGGAGTGCGGGAAGAGCTTCGGCGTCCGCTCCAACCTCATCAAGCACCAACGGACCCACTTGGGCGAGAAGCCCTACAAGTGTGGGGACTGCGGGAAAGGCTTCATCCAGAAGTCGGATCTCACCAAGCACCGCCGCATGCACACGGGGGAGAAGCCCTACAAGTGTGGGGAGTGCGGGAAGTGCTTCAGCGTCTCCTCCAACCTCATCAAGCACCAACGCATCCACTTGGGCGAGAAGCCCTACCAGTGCTCCGAGTGCGGCAAGAGCTTCATCCAACGCTCCGAGCTCACCATCCACCAGCGCGTCCACACCGGCGAGAAGCCCTACAAGTGTGGGGCGTGCGGGAAGTGCTTCAGCCGCAGCTCCCACCTCAACCGCCACCAACGCACCCACAACGGGGACAAGGCCAAAGCCAACGCCGCCGACGCCGCCAACGCCGCCTTCTCCGGCCCCTTTGCGCCCGTCCCGGCGCTGCCGCCCTTCCCCGGCGCGGTGCCGGCCTTGGAGCTGCCCTGGGCCCTGCCCTTCCCTGCCCGCGCCTTCCCCCAGCCCTGCTTCCCCCCGCCTCCAGCCCCGGGGGCTCAGGCCTCGTCCCTCAGCAACTGAGCCCGGCCCCGGCGCCAGCCCCACGGCTCCGGGGGGGTGGGGGGGTGGGGGGGGGATGTGGGGCCAAGCAAGAGCCGGCGTTGGGATGGGCCCAGCCGGAGCTGGAGGGAGGCGCTTGAGGGGGCTGGGAGAGGATGGGGAAGGCGCCTTCGGGCTATGGGGCCAAGCTCACTCAGCACCCAACTGGGGTTGGCCAACGAGAGGCGTCATTGGGCTTGTTCCATTCACTCAACTGGGGTTGGCCAACAAGAGGCGTCATTGGGCATGTTCCACTCAAGACCCAACTGGGGTTGGCCAACAAGAGGCGTCATTGGGCATGTTCCACTCAAGACCCAACTGGGGTTGGCCAACGAGAGGTGTCATTGGGCTTGTTCCACTCAAGACCCAACTGGGGTTGACCAACGAGAGGTGTCATTGGGCTTGTTCCACTCAACGCACAACTGGGGTTGGCCAACGAGAGGCGTCATTGGGCTTGTTCCATTCAAGACCCAACTGGGGTTGGCCAACAAGAGGCGTCATTGGGCTTGTTCCATTCACTCAGCTGGGGTTGGCCAACGAGGTGTCATTGGGCTTGTTCCAATCAGCACCCAACTGGGGTTGGCCAACAAGAGGCGTCATTGGGCTTGTTCCATTCACTCAACTGGGGTTGGCCAACGAGAGGTGTCATTGGGCTTGTTCCATTCATTCAACTGGGGTTGGCCAACAAGAGGTGTCATTGGGCTTGTTCCAATCAGCACCCAACTGGGGTTGGCCAACAAGAGGTGTCATTGGGCTTGTTCCACTCAAGACCCAACTGGGGTTGGCCAACAAGAGGCATCGTTGGGCTTGTTCCACTCAAGACCCAACTGGGGTTGGCCAACAAGAGGAATCGTTGGGCTTGTTCCATAGCTGGGAACTCTGGGATTGGGAAGGTTTGGGTGGGATCTGGATTGATCCAAGCGGAACACGGTGCGATGGGAAAGGCTCTGTTGGGAATGGAGGAGGAAGAGGGAATAGTCCCCACCCCCCAAAAAAAAGAGGGAAAATGGCTATGGAAAAGGAAAGAGGAGGGAAAGAATGGGAAAAGGAAAGGATACAGGGAATGGGACCAAAATCGGTGCTGAATGTAGGGAAAGGGATGGATGGAGGATGATCGATGATGGATGATGATGATGGATGATGATTGATGGATCGATGATGGATGGATGATGGATGGATGATGATGGATGGATGATGGATGGATGATGGAGGATGGAGGATGGATGATGATGGATGGATGATGGATGTATGATAATGGATGATGGATGGATGATGAATGGATGATGGATGATGATGATGATGATGGATGATGGATGGATGGATGATGATGATGATGGATGATGGATGGATGGATGATGGGTGATGGATGGACGGATGATGGATGGATGGCTGGATGATGATGGATAATGGATGGACAATGGAGGATTGACGGCTGGACGATGGTGGATGGATAACGGCACCAATGGGGCACAAGGCCCCACCGAGACCCCAGAGACCCCAACGCCACCCCAAAGGATCACAAAGCTCTTCCCTGAAGGCACCTGAGGCGGGTTCCTTCTCTTCCCAAGTGGGATTCGGGCTGGAATTCCCAGCGCCGAGCTTCCGAAGCCGCCATTGGCCGTGTCCTTTGTCCATGGTCTTCTTCTCGTGTCTCATTGTATGGGGGTTGGGGGGGTTTGGGGGTGCGGGGGATGTGGGGCCGGAATTCCTCATCTTTTGTTTTCCATGAGTGGGAATAAAGTAGAACGTAGGAGCTCGGGATGAGGTCTTCTCCTTGGGATGGGGGTTTCCTCTTCCCATTGCTCCACATCCCAGATCCCAAGGGAGTCCCAAGTGGGGCTGGGAATGCTCCAATTGGGGCTCCTCAGGCTTCAAGGGGGGGGGGGTTGGATGGCTCGAGGGCAGGTCCAATGGGGTTCATCCCATCTCCAATGGGGTTCGTCCCATCTCCATTGGGGTTCAACCCATCTCCAATGGGGTTCATCCCATCTCCAGTGGGGTTCGTCCCATCTCCAATGGGGTTCGTCCCATCTCCATTGGGGTTCATCCCATCTCCAATGGGGTTCGTCCCATCTCCAATGGGGACATCTCCAATGGGGACATCTCCAATGGGGTTCATCCCATCTCCAATGGGGTTCAACCCATCTCTAATGGGGTTCATCCCATCTCCAATGGGGTTCATCCCATCTCCAATGGGATTCATGCCATCTCCAATGGGGACATCTCCAATGGGGACATCTCCAATGGGGTTCCTCCCATCTCCAATGGGGACATCTCCAATGGGGTTCATCCCATCTCCAATGGGGACATCTCCAATGGGGTTCATCCCATCTCCAATGGGGACATCTCCAATGGGGACATCTCCAATGGGGTTCATCCCATCTCCATTGGGGTTCATCCCATCTCCGATGGGGTTTGTCCCATCTCCAATGGGGTTCATCCCATCTCCATTGGGGACATCTCCAATGGGGTTCATCCCATCTCCAATGGGGTTCAACCCATCTCCAATGGGGTTCATCCCATCTCCAATGGGATTCATCCCATCTCCAATGGGGTTCGTCCCATCTCCAATGGGGTTCGTCCCATCTCCAATGGGGTTCATCCCATCTCCAATGGGGACATCTCCAATGGGGTTCAACCCATCTCCAATGGGGTTCTACCCATCTCCAATGGGATTCATCCCATCTCCAATGGGGTTCAACCCATCTCCAATGGGATTCATCCCATCTCCAATGGGGACATCTCCAATGGGGTTCATCCCATCTCCAATGGGATTCATCCCATCTCCAGTGGGGACATCTCCAATGGGATTCATCCCATCTCCAATGGGGTTCAACCCACCTCCAATGGGATTCATCCCATCTCCAATGGGGTTCGTCCCATCTCCAATGGGATTTGCTGGATCTCTGGGGGTTTGGGACCCCCATTCCCAAGGGAATTCCAAGCCCCCCCCCCCCCCCCGCCCCCAATTTCCCTATAGGAAGCACCCCCAAAACACCCAGATATCCCATCGGGGGGGGTGGTCAGGATTTGGGGATACACCAAGAAATCCATACGGAATAGGCTGGGAATATCCATTTACTCATTGGAATATACATTGGGAATGACCCCCATCCCCCCCCCACCCCCCAACCCCAGGGGGGCTGCCTCGAACCTTGGGGGGTGGAGGGGTTCTCATCACAGCCAGCCCCGATCCCAACAGTGGGAATAGGGAATTCTATGGGTGACGGATCCCATCGGTGGGAAGTTGGGAATCCCATGGGATACAGCTCCCAACACCGCTATGGGGGGGGGGGGGAACGCAAACTCCCTGCCCCCCATGGCATTGCCTTGGCCAACGAGACTCTTCCAAGCACGGCCCCCAGCATCTCCACCCTCCGTGCCCCATGGAAGGGGTTCCGTCAGCTTTCGGATCCCAACGGTGGGAATTCTATGGGATACGGGGATCCCAGCATCCCTATGGGGGAGCAGAGGAACGCGAACCCCCGCCCCACGTCCACGGTCAAGAAGATGCTTCCAAGAGCGGGGCCACCAGCTCCAACCTTCACCCCCTGGCTCCTATGGGGAGGTTGAAGCCACCCCATGGTTCCTATGGGGAGGTTGAAGATCTCAAGGTCTTCTTGGGTACCTCCAACCTCCACCCCATGGTTTCTATGGGGAGGTTGAAGACCTCAAGGTCTTTTTGGGTACCTCCAACCTTCACCCCATGGGGAAGTTGAAGCCCTCTTGGTCTTCTTGGGCAACTCCAACCTTCACCCCATGTTGGAAGTTGAAGCCCTCTTGGTCTTCTTGAGTACCTCCAACCTTCACCCCATGGGGAGGTCGAAGCCCTCTTGGTCTTGGGTACCTCCAACCTTCACCCCATGGGGAAGTTGAAGCCCTCTTGGTCTTCTTGGGTACCTCCAACCTTCACCCCATGGGGAGGATGAAGCCCTCTTGTTCTTGGGTACCTCCAACCTTCACCCCATGGGGAAGCTGAAGCCCTCTTGGGTACCTCCAACCTCCACCCCATGGAGATGACAAAGCCCCCATGGGAAGGATGAAGCCCCCTTGGTCTTCTTGGGTACCTCCAACCTTCACCCCATGGAGAAGTTGAAGCCCTCTTGGTCTTGGGTACCTCCAACCTTCACCCCATGGGGAGGTCAAAGCCCTCTTGGTCTTCTTGGGTACCTCCAACCTTCACCCCATGGAGAAGTTGAAGCCCTCTTGGTCTTCTTGGGCAACTCCAACCTTCACCCCATGGAGAAGTTGAAGCCCTCTTGTTCTTGGGTACCTCCAACCTTCACCCCATGGGGGAAGTTGAAGCCCTCTTGGGTACCTCCAACCTCCACCCTATGGAGACGACAAAGCCCCCATGGGCAAGACGAAGCCCCCATGGCGAAGCCGAAGCCCTCAAGGCCTCCTCCTTGGATGGGGCCTCGCCTTGGGGTGCTGCTCGGGCGCTAGAGGCTGACGCTGCGGTGATGCTTCAAGTACCCCGGCGCCCCCCGGGCCCTATGGGGCTCACCCAGCTCCTCGCTGTCGAGGCTGGCAGCGTCCGAGAGCTTGGCCAAGTGCTCGACCGAGTCGAACTTCTGCAGGTCCGAAGCGATGGTTTGGAGGCTCAGCACCGAGAGCGTGTCCCCGGCGCCTCCCCCCACCCCTAAAGGGGTCCCTTGGGGGTCGGGCACCGATTCGGAGCCGGGGGGCTGAGCGTCGCCTTCGGCGCCCACGGGGGAGGCACGGCGCGGCGGGAGGCGGCGCAGGCGGCGCGCGTGGATCTGCTCGCTGATCTCCTCCAGGTTACGCAAGGCCACGGCGTAACGGGTCTTGGCCCGGGCCACCCGCGCCTCCAGCGCCGTCACCTGGGCCTTGTGCTCCTGATGGGGTGGGGACGGGGGGTTGGAATTAGGGGGAGAAAGGCGAAAACGGGATGGAATCGCCCCAAAAAGGGGCTCCAGCGCCGTTGCGAAGGAGCCCAAGGGTCATGTTGGGTCCTTCTTGGTTGACTTGGTCCCAAAACCTGATCGAACTACCCCAAAAAGGCATGAAATCACCCTAAAAAGAGGTGAAACCACCCCAAAAATGGATCCATCTCCATCCCAAGGTGCCCCATGGCCATATCGGGTCCTTCCTGCTCTACTTGACCCCAAAACCTGGTAGAAGAACCTCAATATGTGGTGAAATCGCCCCAAAAAGGGGCTCCGGCGCCGTTGCGAAGGAGCCCAATGGCCACGTTGGGTCCTTCTTGGTTGACTTGGTCCCAAAACCTGATCGAACTACCCCAAAAAGGCATGAAATCACCCTAAAAAGAGGTGAAACCACCCCAAAAATGGGATCCATCTCCACCCCATGGCCATGTTGGGTCCTTCCTGCTCTACTTGACCCCAAAACCTGGTAGAAGAACCTCAAAATGTGGTGAAATCGCCCCAAAAAGGGGCTCCGGCGCCGTTGCGAAGGAACCCAAGGGTCACGTTGGGTCCTTCTTGGTTGACTTGGTCCCAAAACCTGATCGAACTACCCCAAAAAGGGATGAAATCACCCTAAAAAGAGGGGAAACCACCCCAAAAATGGGATCCATCTCCACCCCATGGCCATGTTGGGTCCTTCCTGCTCTCCTTGACCCCAAAACCTGGTAGACAAACCTCAAAATGTGGTGAAATCTCCCCAAAAAGAGGCTCCGGCGCCTTTGCGAAGGAGCCCAAGGGTCATGTTGGGTCCTTCTTGGTTGACTTGGTCCCAAAACCTGATCGAACTACCCCAAAAAGGGATGAAATCACCCTAAAAAGAGGTGAAACCACCCCAAAAATGGATCCATCTCCATCCCAAGGTGCCCCATGGCCACGTTGGGACCTTCCTGCTCTACTTGACCCCAAAACCTGGTAGAAGAACCTCAAAATGTGGTGAAATCGCCCCAAAAAGGGGCTCCGGCGCCGTTGCGAAGGCGCCCAAGGGTCACGTTGGGTCCTTCTTGGTTGACTTGGTCCCAAAACCTGATCGAACTACCCCAAAAAGGGATGAAATCACCCTAAAAAGAGGTGAAACCACCCCAAAAATGGATCCATCTCCATCCCAAGGTGCCCCATGGCCACGTTGGCTCCTTCCTGCTCTACTTGACCCCACAACCTGGTAGAAGAACCTCAAAATGTGGTGAAATCGCCCCAAAAAGGGGCTCCGGCGCCGTTGCGAAGGAGCCCAATGGCCACGTTGGGTCCTTCTTGGTTGACTTGGTCCCAAAACCTGATCGAACTACCCCAAAAAGGGACGAAATCACACTAAAAAGAGGTGAAACCACCCCAAAAATGGGATCCATCTCCACCCCATGGCCATGTTGGGTCCTTCCTGCTCTACTTGACCCCAAAACCTGGTAGACGAACCTCAAAATGTGGTGAAATCTCCCCAAAAAGAGGCTCCGGCGCCGTTGCGAAGGAGCCCAATGGTCATGTTGGGTCCTTCTTGGTTGACTTGGTCCCAAAACCTGATCGAACTACCCCAAAAAGGGATGAAATCACCCTAAAAAGAGGTGAAACCACCCCAAAAATGGGATCCATCTCCATCCCAAGGTGCCCCATGGCCACGTTGGGTCCTTCCTGCTCTCCTTGACCCCAAAACCTGGTAGAAGAACCTCAAAATGTGGTGAAATCACCCCAAAAAGGGGCTCCGGCGCCGTTGCGAAGGAGCCCAATGGCCACGTTGGGTCCTTCTTGGTTGACTTGGTCCCAAAACCTGATCGAACTACCCCAAAAAGGCATGAAATCACCCTAAAAAGAGGTGAAACCACCCCAAAACCATCTCCATCTCCAACCCATGGTGCCCCATGACCACGTTGGGTCCTTCTTGGTCAACTTGACCCCAAAACCTGATCGAAGCCCCCCAAAAAGCAATGAAACCACCCCAAAAAGAGGTGAAACCACCCCAAAACCATCTCCATCACCCCCCCAAGGTGCCCCATGGCCACGTTGGCTCCTTCCTGCTCTACTTGACCCCAAAACCTGATCGAAGCCCCCCAAAAAACGATGAATCCACCCCAAAAAGAGGTGAAACCACCCCCAAAAGAGATGGAAACGCCCCCAAAAACCAATGAAACCACCCCAAAACCATCTCCATCTCCAACCCAAGTTGCCCCATGGCCACGTTGGGTCCTTCTTGGTCAACTTGACCCCAAAACCTGATCGAAGCCCCCCAAAAAGCGATGAACCCACCCCAAAAAGCAATGAAACCACCCCAAAACCATCTCCATCTCCAACCCAAGTTGCCCCATGGCCACGTTGGCTCCTTCCTGGTCAACTTGACCCCAAAACCTGACCGAAGCCCCCCAAAAAGAGGTGAAACCACGCCAAAACCATCTCCATCTCCAACCCATGCTGCCCCATGGCCACACTGGCTCCTTCCTGCTCTTCTTCACCCCAAAACCTGATCGAAGCCCCCCAAAAAGAGATGAAACCACCCCAAAAAGTGATGAAACCACCCCAAAAAGCGACGGAAACGCCCCCAAAAAGCAACGAAACCACCCCAAAACCATCTCCATCACCCCCCCACAGCACCCCCTAACGTGGGGTACCTCCAGGATCTGGTTGAACTGGGCCTTGAGCTCGAAGTAGGGCTTGCTCTTGACGATGACCCTCTTGAGGCTCTTCTGTAGGGCCTGCACCTTGGCCTCGGCCTCTTGGCACAGGTTGGTGACGCGTTGGTGCTCCCGCTCGCTCCGGAGGCGCTCCTCCTCGGCCTCGTTCACCTGTGGGGCACCGAGCCCCATAGAACGGGCTCCAGATCCAGCTCCAGCCCCACGGGAGCAACCCGAGGGATGGAGGAGCCCCCCGGGGCGCGGGTCGATGCATGGAGAGGCCCCCATGGGGCCACGGCGTGGAGATCGCGCCGTTGACGCCCCATATCCATCCCATGCGACCCCCATGGACGTCCCAAGGGATGAAGGATTCCCAAGGCCTCGTCCCCACATAGGAAGGGCTCCTGGACCCATAGGCCTATGGATTATGACCTCCCAGGTCTATATCCCTATGGATCCAGCCCCCTGTGCCCCACACCTTCCCCATGGCATGGTTGAGATCCCCCTACCAAGTGTCCCCATCCCTTCCCCATGGCACAATTGACGTTCTCCTCCCGTCCACCCCTTCCAACCTCCATCCCTATGGCCTCAGACCCCCATAACCCCTATCCCTATGGCCCCAGCCCCACTGCAGCCCCACACCTTCCCCATGGCATGGTTGAGGTCCCCCTACTGAGTGTCCCCATCCCTTCCCCATGGCACGGTTGACGTTCTCCTCCCATCCACCCCTTCCAACCTCCATCCCTATGGCCTCAGACCCCCATAACCCCTATCCCTATGGCTCCAGCCCCACACCTTCCCCATGCCATGGTTGAGATCCTCCTACCAAGTGTCCCCATCCCTTCCCCATGGCACAATTGACGTTCTCCTCCCATCCACCCCTTCCAACCTTCATCCCTATGGATTTGGACCCCCATAACCCCTATCCCTATGGCTCCAGCCCCACACCTTGCCCGTGGCATGGTTGAGGTCCTCCTACCAAGTGTCCCCATCCCTTCCCCATGGCACTACTGACGTTCTCCTCCCATCCACCCCTTCCAACCTCCATCCCTATGGCCTCAGACCCCCATAACCCCTATCCCTATGGCTCCAGCCCCACACCTTCCCCATGCCATGGTTGAGGTCCTCCTACCAAGTGTCCCCACACCTTCCCCATGGCACTACTGACGTTCTCCTCCCATCCACCCCTTCCAACCTCCATCCCTATGGCCTCAGACCCCCATAACCCCTATCCCTATGGCTCCAGCCCCACACCTTCCCCATGCCATGGTTGAGGTCCTCCTACCAAGTGTGCCCATCCCTTCCCCATGGCACTATTGACGTTCTCCTCCCATCCACCCCTTCCAACCTCCATCCCTATGGCCTCAGACCCCCATAACCCCTATCCCTATGGCTCCAGCCCCACACCTTCCCCATGGCACTATTGAGGTCTCCTCCAAGTCCCCATCCACCCCTTCCAACCTCCATCCCTATGGCCTCAGACCCCCATAACCCCTATCCCTATGGCTCCAGCCCCACACCTTCCCCATGCCATGGTTGACGTTCTCCTCCCATCTATCTCTTCCAATGTCCATCCTTATGGACTCTGACCCCCATATCCCTATGGCCCCAGCCCCCTGTGACCCACACCTTCCCCATGGCATGGTTGAGGTCCTCCTACCAAGTGTCCCCATCCCTTCCCCATGGCACGACTGACGTTCTCCTCCCATCCACCCCTTCCAACCTCCATCCCTATGGCCTCAGACCCCCATAACCCCTATCCCTATGGCTCCAGCCCCACACCTTCCCCATGGCATGGTTGAGGTCCTCCTACCAAGTGTCCCCATCCCTTCCCCATGGCACGACTGACGTTCTCCTCCCATCCACCCCTTCCAACCTCCATCCCTATAGCCTCAAACCCACATAACCCCTATCCCTATGGCTCCAGCCCCACACCTTCCCCATGGCATGGTTGAGGTCCTCCTACCAAGTGTGCCCATCCCTTCCCCATGGCACTATTGACGTTCTCCTCCCATCCACCCCTTCCAACCTCCATCCCTATGGCCTCAGACCCCCATAACCCCTATCCCTATGGCTCCAGCCCCACACCTTCCCCATGGCACAATTGACGTTCTCCTCCCATCCACCCCTTCCAACCTCCATCCCTATAGCCTCAGACCCCCATAACCCCCCTATCCCTATGGCTCCAGCCCCACACCTTCCCCATGGCACAATTGACGTTCTCCTCCCATCCACCCCTTCCAACCTCCATCCCTATGGCCTCAGACCCCCATAACCCCTATCCCTATGGCTCCAGCCCCACACCTTGCCCGTGGCGTGGTTGAGCATCTCCTGCCACGTAGGATCCAGGCGGTTCTTGCCGGCCATCACCCCTTGCTCGGCCACGAACACCATCTCCCGCGCCGCGTTGTGCATGCTCACGGCGCGCTCGTACCGCAACGCCGCCTTCTGCGTCTCCTGCTGCGCCTGCGGTTATGGGGCCAGCCCCACATCAGCCCCACATCCTCGGGGGTGGTGGGGACGGGGGGGGGATAAGGGATGGGGGTCGGTACCTCCTTGGCCAAGCGCCGCGCCTCGTAGTAAGGCCGGGCCTTGTCGATGCAATGGCCAAGTTGGGAGCCTTGGGCGTTGAGTTTGCGCGCCGACTCGGAGAGGATGCGGCGGTACGCGGTGCGGGCGTCCTGGGGGGGCAAGGGGACCAGTGTGGGACCAGTGGGACCAGTTAAGGACCAATGGGAGCAGGTAAGGGCCAATGGGAGCAGTTAGGGACCAGTGGGACCAGTGTGGGACCAGTTAAGGACCAATGGGACCAGTTAAGGAGCAGTGGGAGCAGGTAAGGAGCACTTAAGGGACCAGTGGGACCAGTTAGGGACCAGTGTGGGACCAGTGGGACCAGTGTGGGACCAGTGGGACCAGTTAGGGACCAGTGTGGGACCAATGGGACCAGTTAGGGACCAGTGTGGGACCAGTGGGACCAGTGTGGGACCAGTGGGACCAGTTAGGGACCAGTGTGGGACCAGTGGGACCAGTTAGGGACCAGTGTGGGACCAGTGGGACCAGTGTGGGACCAGTGGGACCAGTGGGACCAGTGTGGGACCAGTGGGACCAATGGGACCAGTGTGGGACCAGTGGGACCAGTTAGGGACCAGTGGGACCAGTGTGGGACCAGTTAGGGACCAATGGGAGCAAGTAAGGGCCAATGGGACCAGTTAAGGAGCAGTGGGAGCAGGTAAGGAGCACTTAAGGGACCAGTGGGACCAGTTAGGGACCAGTTAGGGACCAGTGTGGGACCAGTTAGGGACCAATGGGACCAGTGTGGGACCAGTTAAGGAGCAATGGGACCAATGGGACCAGTTAGGGACCAATGGGACCAGTGTGGGACCAGTGGGACCAGTTAGGGACCAATGGGAGCAGTTAAAGACCAGTGAAGGATCAGTGGGACCAGTTAAGGACCAGTGGGACCAGTTAGGGACCAGTGTGGGACCAGTTAGGGACCAGTTAAGGAGCAATGGGACCAGTGGGACCAGTTAGGGACCAATGGGACCAGTTAGGGACCAGCTAGGGACCAGTGGGACCAGTGTGGGACCAGTTAAGGACCAACGGGAGCAGTTAAGGGCCAATGGGACCAGTGTGGGACCATTGGGAGCAGGTAAGGAGCAGTTAAGGACCAGTTAGGGACCAGTGGGACCAGTTAAGGAGCAATGGGACCAGTGGGACCAGTTAGGGACCAATGGGACCAGTGTGGGACCAGTTAGGGACCAGTTAAGGAGCAATGGGACCAGTGGGACCAGTTAGGGACCAGTGGGACCAGTTAAGGAGCAATGGGACCAGTGGGACCAGTTAGGGACCAATGGGACCAGTGTGGGACCAGTTAGGGACCAGTTAAGGAGCAATGGGACCAGTGGGACCAGTTAGGGACCAATGGGACCAGTGTGGGACCAGTTAGGGACCAGTTAAGGAGCAATGGGACCAGTGGGACCAGTTAGGGACCAATGGGACCAGTGTGGGACCAGTGTGGGACCAGTGGGACCAGTGTGGGACCAGTTAAGGACCAATGGGAGCAGTTAAGGGCCAATGGGACCAGTGTGGGACCATTGGGAGCAGGTAAGGACCAGTTAGGGACCAGTTAAGGAGCAATGGGAGCAGGTAAGGGCCAATGGGAGCAGTTAAGGACCAGTTAAGGACCAGTGGGAGCAGGTAAGGACCAGTTAAGGACCAGTTAGGGACCAATGGGACCAGTTAGGGACCAGTTAAGGACCAATGGGAGCAGTTAAGGGCCAATGGGACCAGTGTGGGACCATTGGGAGCAGGTAAGGAGCAGTTAAGGACCAGTTAGGGACCAGTGGGACCAGTTAAGGAGCAATGGGACCAGTGGGACCAGTTAGGGACCAATGGGACCAGTGTGGGACCAGTTAGGGACCAGTTAAGGAGCAATGGGACCAGTGGGACCAGTTAGGGACCAGTGGGACCAGTTAAGGAGCAATGGGACCAGTGGGACCAGTTAGGGACCAATGGGACCAGTGTGGGACCAGTTAGGGACCAGTTAAGGAGCAATGGGACCAGTGGGACCAGTTAGGGACCAATGGGACCAGTGTGGGACCAGTTAGGGACCAGTTAAGGAGCAATGGGACCAGTGGGACCAGTTAGGGACCAATGGGACCAGTGTGGGACCAGTGTGGGACCAGTGGGACCAGTGTGGGACCAGTTAAGGACCAATGGGAGCAGTTAAGGGCCAATGGGACCAGTGTGGGACCATTGGGAGCAGGTAAGGACCAGTTAGGGACCAGTTAAGGAGCAATGGGAGCAGGTAAGGGCCAATGGGAGCAGTTAAGGACCAGTTAAGGACCAGTGGGAGCAGGTAAGGACCAGTTAAGGACCAGTTAGGGACCAGTGGGACCAGTTAAGGAGCAATGGGACCAGTTAAGGACCAGTTAAGGACCAATGGCACCAGTTAAGGACCATGTAAGGGCGAATGGGACCAGTTAAGGACCAGTTAAGGGCCACTGAGACCAGTTAAGGGCCAATGGCACCAGTTAAGGACCAGTTAAGGACCAGTGGGACCAGTTAAGGACCAATGAGACCAGTTAAGGACCAATGGGACCAGTTAAGGATCACTTAAGGACCATTGGGACCAGTCTGGGCCCAGTTAAGACCCATTGTAACCAGTTCAAGCCCAGTTCAGCCCAGTTTGAGCCCAGTTCATCCCAGTTTGAGCCCAGTTCATCCCAGTTTGGGCCCAGTTCATCCCAGTTTGGGCCCAGTTCATCCCAGTTGAGCCCAGCCCTGCTCACATCCAGCTGCAGCTCCACCCGGTTGATCTCCTCATTGGCCTGGTTGAGATGCTCCAGCTCCTCCTATAGATGGGAGAGACCAAAAGTGGGGTGTGGGGTGAATAATGGGGGACCCCCCCCCAAAATGAGGGGGGGGGGGATGTGAATGACCCCCCCCCCCCATCATTCCCAGCCCTTCCCACCTGGATCCTCGGATCCAGCTCTTCCTCCTCCTCCTCTTCCTCTCCAACAGCTTTGGGGGGGGGCTCAGGCTCAGCCCCCCCCTCCCCCACGGGGGTCCCCCCACATCCGGGGGGGGTTCGGCGCCCGTCGCCTGCCTCCATCCCCTGCTCCATGCTGGGATCCCCCCACCCCCACCCCCCCCACCCCACCCCCCCAAAAATCCCGGGCTTTCCGGGTTCCTTTGGGATTCAGGAAGTTGGGGGGTGGGGGGGAAGGGGGGGACCCCACTTTGGGGGGGGGGGGAGGGGAGGAGCTGGAAAAGAAGAGGGAAAAGGTCAGGACCAACCCCCCCCCCACATCCCCCCCCCATATCCCTCTCTTTGACACCCCCCACCCCATATGCCCCTATGGAGTCCCTATAGCCCCCAATACCCCCCTATAGCACCCCACTGACCTCCTATAGCTCCTCAATGCCCCCTATAGCCCCCCAATAACCCCCAATACCCTCCCAAATGCCCCTAATAGCCCCACAATAACCCCCATAGCCCCTCAATGTCCCCTATAGCCACCCTATAGCCCCCCACACCCCCCCAAATGCCCTCCATAGGCCCATAATGCCCCCTATAGCCCCTCAATGTCCCCCTATAGCCCCCCAAATGCCCCCAATACTCTCCTAGAGCCTGCCAATGCCCCCTATAGCCCCCTGTTGACCCCCTATAGCCCCCTATTGACCCCCTATACCCCCCAATAGCCCCCAATGACCCCCTATAGCCCCCCAAATGCCCCCAATGCCCCCTTACAGCCCCCCAAATGCCCCCAATGCCCCCTTACAGCCCCCCAATGACCCCCTATAGGCCTCCTATAGCCCCCCAAATGCCCTCTAGAGCCCCCCATTACTACCTATAGCCCCCCAATGCCCCCTATAGCCCCCCAATAGCCCCCAATACTCTCCTATAGCCTGCCAATGCCCCATATAGCCCCCTATAGCCCCCCAATACCCCCCTGTAGCCCCTCAATGACCCCCTATAGCCCCACAATAGCCCCCAATGCCCCCCATAGCCCCCTATTGACGCCCTATAGCCCCACAATAGCCCCCAATACCCCCTATAGCCCTCCAATGCCCCCTATAGCCCCTCAATGCCCCCCTATAGCCCCCCAAATGCCCACAATACTCTCCTATAGCCTGCCAATGCCCCCTATTGACCCCTATAGCCCCCTATTGACCCCCTATAGCCCCCCAATGCCCCCTATAGCCCCTCAATGCCCCATAGAGCCCCCTATTGACCCCCTATAGCCCCATATTGGCCCCCTATAGCCCCCCATAGCCCCTCAATTCCCCATATAGCCCCCTATTGACCCCCTATAGCCCCCTATTAACCCCCTATAGCCCCCCATAGCCCCTCAATGCCCCATAGAACACCCTATTGACCCCCTATAGCCCCCCAATACCCCCCTATAGCACCCCAGTGCCCCCTATAGCCCCCCAATGCCCCCTATAGCCCCTCAATGCCCCATAGAGCCCCCTATTGACCCCCTATAGGCCCCCAATGCCCCCTATAGCCCCCTATTGACTCCCTATAGCCCCTCAACGTCCCCCTATAGCCCCTCAAATGCCCCCAATACTCTCCTATAGCCTACCAATGCCCCCTATAGCCCCCTAAAGCCCCTCAATGCCCCCCTATAGCCCCCCAATGCCCCCTATAGCCCCTCAATGCCCCACAGAGCCCCCTATTGACCCCCTATAGCACCCCAGCGCCCCCTATAGCCCCCCAATGCCCCCTACAGCCCCTCAATGCCCCACGTAGCCCCCTATTGACCCCCTATAGCCCCCCAATACCCCCCATAGAGCCCCCTATTGACCCCCTATAGCCCCTCAATGCCCCATATAGCCCCCTATTGACCCCCTATAGCCCCCCATATCCCCCTATTTCCCCTCCATTGACCCCCTGTATCCCCCCCCCAATCTCCCCCTCTGTTTCCTTCCCTCACAGCTTCCCCCCCCCCAAGCCCCCAAAATCCCCTTTTTTTACCCCAAAACCCCCTTTCCCCCCCCCCAAACCCGCCCCTTTCCCCACCGCGGCCTGTGTTTACCTCAGCCTCCGCCACAGCGGCCCCACATCGCGGCCTCCCCCTCAACGGCGCATGCGCCACCGGAAGCGGAAGTCGGCGCTGTGCCGTACAAAATGGCGGCCTCCATGAAGCTTCCTCCTTCCCCCCCCCTTTTTTTCCGCCATGGGTCCCGAGGCCTTTCCCGTTACCGGGAGCGTTCATCCGGTAACGGGAAGGATGGGGGGTGTGTGTGTGGGGGGTGTTAACGGTGGGGCAGGCCCCATAGGGGAGCGTCGGGTTCCGGTCACGTGGAGGAAGCGGTGAGGGGCGGGGCGGGGATGGGCGCCGCCATCTTGTGTTACGGCGGCGGCGCCGCCCGGCCTCAAGATGGCGGCTGGGTGCATGGAGCCCCGTTAGGGTAAGCATGTATAGGGACATGTATGTACATGTATGGGCACATATACATGTATGGGCACATGTATGTCATATATGGGCCTGTGTATGGGCACATACATGTCTATAGGCACATGTATGTACGTTAACATGCCTGTATATAGGCACATACATGTCTATAGGCACATATATGTACGTTAACATGCCTGTATATAGGCACATACATGTCTATAGGCACATATATGTACGTTAACATGCCTGTATATAGGCACATACATGTCTATAGGCACATATATGTACGTTAACATGCCTGTATATAGGCACATATATGTACGTTAACATGCCTGTATATAGGCACATAGATGCATATAGGTACATGTATGGGCACATACATGTATATAGGCACATATATGTACTTGTATATGGGCACATACATGTATATAATCGCATATATGTACATATATGTACATTAACATTCCTGTATATGGGCAAGTACACATGTATAAGTACATATATGTGCACATATGGACCTATATATAGGCACATACATGTATATAGGCACATATATGTACATATATGTACATTAACATGCCTGTATATGGGCAAAGACACATGTATAAGTACATATATGTGCACGTATGGACCTGTCTATAGGCACACACATGTATATAGGCACATGTATGTACCTGTCTATAGGCACATACATGTATATAGGCACATGTATGTACCCCTGTGTACCTGTCTATAGGCACACACATGTATATAGGCACATGTAAGACCCCCCAAGACCCCCATAAGACCCCTATGGGACCCCTATAAGACCCATAAGACCCCCCTAAGACCCCTATAGGACCCCTATAAGACCCCTAACACCCCCATAAGACCCCAATAGGAATCCTATAAGACCCCCAAGTCCCCCATAAAACCCCCATAAGACCCCCAAGACCCCCATAAGACCACTATAGCACCCCTATAAGACCCCTAAGACCCCCATAAGATCCCTATAGGACCCCTATAGGACCCCATTAAGACCCCTAAGACCTCTATAGCACCCCTATAAGACCCCAATAAGACCCCTAAAATCCCCATAAGACCCTTATCGGACCCCCATAAGAATCCTATAGCACCCCTATAAGATCCCCAAGACCCCCATAAGACCCCTATAGGACCCCCATAAGACCCCTATGGGACCCCTATAAGACCCCTAAGACCCCTATAGCACCCCTATAAGACCCCCAAGACCCCTATAAGACCCCCAAGACCGCCATAAGACCCCCAAGACCCCAATAAGACCCCTAAAATCCCCATAAGACCCCCAAGACCCCCATAAGACCCCTATAGCACCCCCATAAGACCCCCAAGACCCCCATAAGACCCCTATAGCACCCCTATAAGACCCCCAAGACCCCTATAAGACCCCCAGGACCCCCCTAAGACCCCTATAGGACCCCTATAAGACCCCTAACACCCCCATAAGACCCCAATAGGAATCCTATAAGACCCCCAAGTCCCCCATAAAACCCCCATAAGACCCCCAAGACCCCCATAAGACCCCCATAGCACCCCTATAAGACCCCTATAGGTCCCCCATAAGACCCCCATCACCATGTCCCTGCCTGACCCTATTGGGGAGGGGGGGGGCAGGATTCCCCCTCATCCATCCATAGGGATAATCCCTATGGACCAGCTTAGGTCACGTGTCTATGGGGGGGGGGGGGGGTTACGCCTATGTGGGGGGGTGTGCTTACGTGCTCACCGCCCGCATCACGTGTCCAAGGCGGATCCAAACCCCTCCCCCTCCTCATAACCCCTCCCATCCCCCCCCCTCCATCCCCCCCCCCCCCCCCCCCCCCCCCCCGCCTTTTCCCATCCTTCCATCACCGGGATTTTCCCATCCTCCATCCCGAGCATCCTCATCCTCCCCCCCTCATCCCAAACCCAACCCCCCCCCAGATTAGGACCCCCCCCACCCCCACCCCATTGCCTTGACACCCCCCCCCCTTTATTCCACCCCCCCCCCATTCCATCCCATTGTGGACCAGCCCAGGCCAAGGTAAGACCTCCCCCCCCCCCCCCCAAATGGGGCCTTCCCTTTGCTATAGGGCTCAATGAGGGGGTTTGGACCCCTCCATTGTAAAGGGGGGGGGGGTGTGGGGGCAGGGGACCCCCCCCTCCCCACCCCTTGTTTTTAGCGCTCTAAAGGGTGCCCCCCCCTCTTAAAGGGATAGAACCCCCCCCCCGTCAAGATGGGAGACCCGAATTGGGGGGCCCCCCACTTTAGGGGACCCCCCCCATTATAGGACCCCCCCTTATATGGGACACCCATTATGGGGCCACCCCCATTATGGGCCCCCCCCCCCCATGATGGGACCCCCCTTATTATGGGATCACCCCCATTATGGACCCCCCCCCATTATGGGCCCCCCCATTATGACCCCCCCCCATTATGAGCCCCCCCCCATTATGGGATCCCCCTTATTATGGGACCCCCACATTATGGGACCCCCGTTATGGAGCCCCCCTATTATGGGATCACCCCCATTATGGACCCCCCCCCATTATGGGGTTCCCCCCCTTATGGCCCCCCCCCATTATGGCCCCCCCCCCCCATTATAGTACCCATCCCATTATGGACCCCCCCCCATTATGGACCCCCCCATTATAGACCCCCCCCATTATGGGATCCCCCCATTATGGGACCCCCCATTATGTGATCACCCCCATTATGGAC